CCACTCTCCCTCTACCCTCCCTGTTTCAATTTCTTCATTTTTATAAGTACAATTCAGTGAGGCTAATTACATTCACCAGGACATGCACCCATCACCATAAAGCTTCTGTTAAGGGTGATGGAACAATTTGAAAAAAGGACAGCGATGAAGGCTACCTTTTCAGCTCTGAAATCACTAGACTAGTTGTTCCACAAGCAGGTCCTCATTTCATGACTGTTTTCTATGATTTAGCCTGTCTTTTCCATTAGATAGGCAACGTGACTTACATTGGTCCATTAGATAGGCAACGTGACTTACATTGGTCCAGCTAAAGTGGTATCCATCAACGTTAAACACAGGCATGACATAGAAATACAGATGATTCAACATTTTTCTCATGGCTGGGTCACTCCGATGGGTCAGGAGAGCCTGAAAGACAAAGGCGACATTTCCCCCCTGAACAAATAATTGATCTCGCTATACAGATTCTGAAAAATAAAAAAAGTAAGAAATTCTTTCCATCTATGAGAAATAGAAATATGTTGAGTTAAAAAGAAATCAGCATGAACCTTGAAAGCATTAAAACCAAACCAAACCAAACTCACTGCCATCGAGGCAGTGCCAACTCACAGTGACCCTAAGGACAGGGCAGAACTGCCCCTGTGTTTTCAAGCTCCAGGAGCAGAAAGCCCCGTCTTCCTCCCTTGGAGCAGCCGGTGGTTTCGAACTGCTGACTTTTCGGATCGTAGTCCAATGCGTCGCCACTACTTTACCGGGTTTTTATGAAAGCATTGTGGCTCAGTGAAATAAGGCAGTCACAACAGGGCAAATATTGTATGATCCCACTTGTACGAGATAGGCAAGTGTATAGAGGCCAGAGTTTATCGATGTTTACCAGGGGTGAGAGGGAGGGGAAAAGGGAATCATGCTTATGGGGCAGAGTTAGTTATGGTGAATAATTCGGAAATGGGTAGTGGTGATGCATGGTTGAACATAATGTCTGTAACCGATGTTGTGAAATTGTAAGTGTAAAAGTGTTGACTTTTTCAATGTTTTATTGTGTATATATTTTTTACTACAATAAAATGATGAACAAAAGCAATCAGATACCATAAACATTACACATTGACATTCTACATTCTAGATCGAAACTTTGTCTTGATTTCTTTATGACATATCATATTTTAGCAAAGCTGGTAAAATGCTAACTGGACAGCCTCTTGTCTGGCTAAATTTTGGGGCCGATTAAAAAGGCAACTATTTGTAGGCTTGAGGATAATCAGTTCCTTTTTAGATTATATACATTTGTGGACAAAATATTTAACTATTTATTTGATAGTCCTATGAATCTTGGAA